CTCTAAGCCAGCAAGATTTCCTCTTTGCAAAATCATATTTTTGTGGGAACCGGCCCTGCTTTTTGTGGCAAGGCCTGTTCTGATTAATAAAGGATCGTGAAAAAGCAGGGCCTTGGCTCTTTCCTCTGTGGGTCCCAGCCTGTTCCCTYCCCAGGGAGAAGCAGCTGGGTGAGGGGATGGGGAGCCTGGGGCTGAGTCTCTCCTCCTCAGCTTGTCACCTCTGGGACTTCACTGGTGACCTGGCCCTTCCTGAGCTGCCCGCCCATCTTCAGATCCAGACTATGACCCGACCAGCTGCCTCAGAAGCAAAGGCAGCTCCATCTCCCACATCAGGTGGGAGGCTTATTGGGAGAGGAGTCTCCTATAGGCCTCAGGGGTGCCCCTTGATTACCCACCCCACTGGACATCCCCTCCCTCAGTTCCCAAGGGAGGCTTGCTATCCTCCAAGTAGGTCAGAAAACCAAAGCGGGACCCTTCACCTTCCACTACCACCTAAGAAGCTGCGGTGGTTTCCGGTCCAGTGTCCCCTTCCTGATTCCTGCAGGGTAAAGGACGGGAGAGCTCTGGGTCTGTTGGCTAGACCTGTGGCCTCTCTCCACCATTTTCTCTAGTTTAATTATTTAGGATTAGAAAAATCTCTCCCACTCGAGAGAGCCCACGGCAAGCCCCAGCCGAGGAGCCTGGGAAGGGCGGTCCTATCTCATGCCAGCCTGCGTGGCCCTGCGCAACGATTTCCTCCCTCTGCTCTCGGAGTTCAGAAGCAATAATCCCAGCCTCCCTGCACCGCCCAGGGGCAGCAGGCCTGCTAGTTCTCAGGGGACTTCAGAAGGGAGGCATTACATCTGTTTCAGACATARGACAAAAGGAATGCTGGCACCTCTGGTCACATGTCCACCTGCTGGCCCCTGCCCCACTCTGGATTAAAGGGGGCCACACACTTCCTGCTCCCCAGCTCCTGGGGCTGGCAGCCGCCTTCCTGAGCTGCCCTGAAGTTCCTCCACCAAAGCTGCCCACCTTCTCCCTTTCTGCCCCCTCCATTTCCTACAACCTGGTTTTAATGTTCCTTTTCCAAGCTGGTCGTGGTCTGGGGATGTAGCTCAGGTGTAGAGAGATTACCTAGCACAGGAGGCCCTGGGCTCCACCTCCAGCACCACAAAGAAAGAAAAAAAAATGTTTTTTTCTTTGCCTTCAGATCTCTGTTTCAGAGATTGGAGGGAGCCCTGGGGTCAGGTAAGTAGCCTCAGGGGCACTCCCTTGGCSGAAGGAGCTTCTATTGGGGCTCTCAGAGAACAGCCCCGTGGGAGTCGGCTCAGCCCCAACCACGGCTCAGGGCCTCTTCCCTGGACTGTCTGTCCGGCCTTCCACTYCTTTGGTTACATGTGCAAGTACCCCTTTCACTTCATTCGATCTGTCTTCATCCGCCTGCTCTGAGCGACCCGCCCACCCCTCCCTGTGCCTGGAACCGCTGCTCTCTAGTGTTTTCTTTCTCCTGCAAGACCCTCCTAGTCCACAGTGCTCCCTGGAAGGCCTTGTCCTACTCTCCTCCCCCTCCCCCACAAAGGCAGCCAGAAGGACCGCGACCCGTGGCTCCCCTGAACACGTTTCTCGTGAAGACACTGCACTCCCCATGTCTCTGTCCCCGCATGTGTGTGCGTGCATGTATGTGCCTATGTGCGTGTGTGTTGTGTCTTGTTTAGATTGTGCGCCCCCTGGGCAGAGATCCCTGTCTGAACACTTGTTCTATGTGGYACGCCTGGGTGTGCTAATAAATGTCCGTCTTCAGAACAACAGTGCCCGGGTGTCTTGAGGAAGCTTTGGAACAAATGGTTGAAAAAGCCTGCTGGTAGCATTAGAGGCAGGACTCCTGGCTCCCAGGTACCTGTTTGTCCCCCTATCCCAAGCCCCTGGGGGTGGGGGAAGCAGGGAAACGATCCTCCCCGCCCCTCATCTCCGCACTGTTCTGCTGGCCAGGAGGCCTGCTTGTCTGAAGGCTTGGGTGCAGTGGCAGGGGTGGGGAGGGTGGCCACAGCCTGGAATTCTCATCCATTCCACTCAAAGACCTGATGTCAATCAAGGGCAGAGCAGTGTGTGGAGTGAGCCCTGGGTTGGGAGTCCACACATCTGTTGATGGGCAAGTCACTTACCCTTCTGGCCCTGTGGCCGCCACCTCCCCTGCTCTTTTCTCATCTCAGTTCCCACAGCCTTCCTTCCTGCTCTGACCACCAAATGCCCTTGGCCTCTCCCCTGCATCCCTTGCATAAACACAACTCTTTGGGGCTTTCATGCCCTGCTCCCCACCCATCTCTGACTGCCCCCAGGACAATGTGGGGAACCACAGACGCAGCTAGCCCTTCACCTCTCTATTTTCTCTGCTTCCCAGAGACCAACGTGGATGTCAAAGGAAGTTGTGGGGTGAGGGGTGCTAGACTCCTTCTACAGTGCTCTCTCCGTACCAGGGGGAGGTGGGATGCCCAGATGCACTCTGCAGTGGCTCCCTCGATTCCCTGGTTTCCCTCATTTTCTGTGGAAATGGAGACCCTCAATAGTTCTCTCAAGCCAGGCATCAGCACCTGCTTTAACCAGACTCACTTTCCAGAAGGAACTGGCTCCTGTTGTGGGGAGCAAGTGAACAGCACACCAGGCCCTGACAACTCTCCTGGCTCTGGGGAGAAACAGCCGGGCAGCCCCCATTTGGCCGGCAAACAGCCATGGAGAAGGGTGCCACGCGAAAAGGGAGGGCTCTGTGTGCCTGTGATAGCCCCCGGGACATCGAAGGGTCTTTGCTGTGACCTAGAGGGTGGGGACTCAGCAGGGAGGAAGTACAGGGAAACAGAGGAAGGAAACTTGGCTAATTCTGCATGAAAAGAAGGTAGATGGACACCAGGATGTTTGGGGTATTGTTCTGTAGCCTCAGCTCTAAATAAACCCAGCTCCTTGTATACTGATGGAGAAACAGAGGCCCAGCCAGGCCACGACTTCAGTCAGGTCACTTAGTCATAGCAAAACTAGGACTGGAATTTCCCCTGTGTGACACAAGTTACAGGTCAAGAGGACAGTCCCTGGTCAGCTGCAGCTCCTACCCCACCTGAGTGATCCCCACCCTCCCGGACCCCAGAATGTTCCCAGGGTCTGCAGCCAAGCCCCAGACCCTCTTCCTCCGATCTTGCCCACCTCTCCACCTCTTTCTGTCCCGGCATGGCCGTCACCCTCACTTGCAAGCTGACTGTTCCAGATCCAGGCCCAGACTCCTCCTTAACCAGGGCCCAGCTCAGTGTGCCAGCCCTGCTGGGCAGGGCCTGACCTTTTAGCCCCATATGACATCAGCCCCTGTTGCCATGGTGATGGAGGCCTGCAKGATCTTCTCATGGGAGATGGGCCTCTAGGTTTGAGATTTTAATTTTCTTCCTTTCTTTAAATATTTTCCCCCTGAACAATGAGGGGAGAGAGAAATGCCGAAACTGAATAACAAAAAAAAAAGACTATGGAGGAGACAGAGGAAGAGGTAAATGGAGGATGCAATGGAGACGTGTAGTCTCAGAGAAGGAGGGGGGAGCACGACTGAGAGAATACAGAAAGGTCAGCCCTGCTGGTGGGAAAACACCCAAGAACCAGGAAACTGGAAATTAAGCTTCAGAAAATCCAAGAGCCGAACTGAAAGAGGGGGCGAGCCAAGCCGAGCCGAGAAGGAAGTAAGTCACCCCAAGATGACGGGAAACCAGCCTTGAATGGCTCAAGACATTTCTGAGCATTTGTTCCCCAGACAGGCAGGACACGACTTTTTGCCAGGGTCGGCCTGACACACAGCTGGGGCACGTGGATGGGGGCAGTGGGACCTGGTGCTCCCAGGGCTTATAAATAAACAGGCATGTGGGAAATGCACATTCTTTCTCCAAGAAATATAATTTATGTATACAGCCAGTTTTTTTTTTTCTTCCTAAAGAAAACACTAACATGTGGGGCCACTGCCCCTGACAGTGTCCCTGAGTGTCCTTGGCCCTGGCCCCCTCCTCCTGTTATTGCTTGGATGGGAAAGAGCTGGCCCTGGGAATTGCAGAGCAAGGCCCCTCTCCTCACCCCCTTGAGGCTGTCCCTGGTGACGGAGTGGAGGCACACAGTGCCCATCCCGTGCCCCATGCTGTGCCAGCCACACTGGCTGTGCCCATTTAAGGGAATGGAGAGTGCAGGCAGCAGGAGAGGCCTGGAGCAGCCTCCCAGGCACAGAGCCCCTCTCTTCAGTGCAGGAGGCCCTGGAGGCACAGTGGCTTCTTTTCAATCTTGACAGCTGAAGGCTCAAAGCTGTGGGAAAGGGAGGGAGAGCTCTCTGCCCAGCAAGAGTCCAGGTACATGCTGGGAGAAGAGACCAGAAGGAAGGGTGGCGGAGGAAGCCCTGCCTTCTTGGCCCCATACAAATATTAGGGCGCCTGAGGAAGGAGCTAGGTATGAGGAGCCCTGGTGAGAGGTGGGGRCAGCTGTGGCCTTAGGCCTCAATCTGTCTCCTACTTCTATCTTGGGCACAAGCCAGGGCTCCCAGGCCCTGACCTGGGCAGCACCTCCCCCCAAGGGCAGTTCTACCCTACACAGTTCACCCCAGAGGTAGCAGCTCTGGCACCAGAAAAGGTGGGCCTAGGAGATCCAAACCCCAGGAGGAGGGTGGTGGGTACCCTGGGCATCCAGATTCAGTGACTGATATGATTCGTGCGTGGACATGGTGACCCTGGTTCCAGGAGGAAACGGGCACCTGTTTTGTTGCCAATGGCTCTATCAGGGAGGAGACAGAGCCCAAACTTCTTGGTCTGAAGACTGCCCAGATCCACGAGGGGGCAGTCTTCTTATTCCCAGGAGTGTCTGAAGATGGCCCCCAGGCCTGCCTGTGCCCAACAGCCAGCCCAAAGAGGYTTCTTCACTGCCCCCAAGTAGGTCCCCACCCGTCCTACAGACCCAGGAAGCCATAGTCTCCCGAAGGCCGTCCTTCCAGAGTGACCGAAGCCCACCACCCAGCGCAGGGGTTCAGGTGCCCAGTCCTGGAGGGCCTTCCAGAGCACGGAGGTTGCCCCCCGGGTGCGCCAGGACCCGGGAGCCAGCGCCGCCTATGAGCAGGTCTTCTTCCTCCTCATCCTCAAAGGCCCGTGCCGGGCGCCTGGGGAGCGGCCGCGGCGTAGGCTCATCACGCTCCGCCATGCGCTCCACGGCGCCTTCGCCCACAAGGAAGACCGTGTCCGCGACGCGCGGGGGTCCGGTGACCGGGTTGTGGTCGTAAGAGAAGACGCGCAGAGCGCGCAACGGGTGTAAGTCGGGGAAGCCTCCCAGGCGGTTGCGGTCGAGGTCGAGGATATGCAGGCGGCCCATGCGCAGCAGCGCTGGCGGGAACTCCTCGAAGCGGTTACCGTAGAGCCAGAGGCCACGCAAGCCCGTCATGCGCGGCAGCTCCGCGGGCAGCGCGCGCAGCCGGTTGTCGCCCATCTGCAGCGATTGCAGCGCCACCAGGCGCAGCAGCGGTCGCGGAAAACGCCGCAGGAAGTTGCCCTCGATCCAGAGACAGCGAAGGCTCTGCAGCTGCGCGAAGTCGGCGGGCAGTGCCAGCAGCCGGTTGCTGCCCAGGTAGAGGCGMGTGAGGCGCGGCAGGCGACACAGGCCGTCGGGCAGGCGCTCGAGTTTGTTGAAGTCGAGCGCCAGGATGCGCAGCTCGCGCAGCTCCTCGATCTCCTCGGGCAGCTCGCGCAGCCCGGTGCCACTCACGTACAGCTTCTGCAGGCGGCTCAGCGCGCACACTGCGCTGGGCAGCCGCCGCAGCCGCCGCCCGCTCAACTCCAGCTGTTGCTCGCCGCTGCGCAGCTGCTCCTCGGCGTCCGACGGCAGCTCATCCGGCGTAGACTCCGCGATGCCCATGGTCACGGGCCCCGGCCGGGGCCGCTGCCACCACCACTGCCCGGCATCGCCCCGCCCCGGCCGCCCCTCGGCCGCCCCGACGGGGCCGGGACGGCGCCGGCTTAGGGGCCCCCCGCCCCGGCCGGCCCTTGCGCCGGGAGGGGGGCCGTGCCGGGCCGGGAGGAGGCGCCCGCCTGGGGCCGAGCGCTGCGCTCAGCCGCCCGCCCTCCGGCCTCCCCCGCTGCCTCTGCCAGAGGCCGACTGGCTAGAGTTCGCACTGACTCGCAGCTTAGCGACCCGTCGCCCTGGCAACCCCCGACGCGCGCGTGGCTGCCAATGAATCGGAGGGAGGGCGGGGAGGGGCGGGGCCAAGGCGCCGCCCGAGCGGGGTCCCGGCGCCCGAGCCCGCCCCCTGCCAGTCAATCCCGCCCACCCTGGAGCAGAGACAAGCCGAAGGATCCCTTCCAGCGAGCCCAGCGCTGTGCCGGCGCCGAGACCCGACGTCCGACACAACGGCGAGCTGTTCGCAGGTTTTGTGCTCTCCCGGGCCGCGGGTCCTGAAGAAGGAAACCCCGGACCAAGAAACGCCAGCGCGACTCCCAGGGCTCAGAACAAAGAGCTCTCCAGGAGGGACTGTGGAGCGCTGTCACTGCCGGCCATTCAAGTCCTGCGACGTGCGACCAGCCTCCTTGTGGGGTCACTTCAGGATAGTAACTCGGAGGGCTGTTGCTTTCTGTCCCTTTTCACATCTGAGGATTTGCAGGACTCCGATGCTCGCCCCATACAGTCCACTGCCCAATAGCTTCCTCCCTGATGTACCCACACCCCTATTTCCTGCCTTGTTCGATGCCCAAGAACTGTGGGTATCTGCGATAATCAAAAGCATGGGACAGGTGAACGGCTCTGAGAACCCCCATGAGGTCCACCCTCAGTCTGAAACTTCTTGCGCATGTTCCCACCAACCGCCATTTACCGTGCCTCTCGCCTCCCAACCAGAGACCTCCTGCCCGAGGTCCTGGCCGACAGGCGCTGTCCGGTTTACTGAGAGGCTATCATGGAACCAGCGCTAAAAGCTTTGCGCTGAATCCTTGCCACAGCTATTACCCCAAAATCAAAGATAAAGAAACTGAGGCTCAGAGAGGTTTGACTTGAGCTGGTTGACTTTGAGCTGGGTGACCCTCCCAAGGTCATCGAGCTGGTGAGCTGCAGGGATTTGAAGTGAGGTAGTGTGACTCAAGAGCCTGGGCTTTTAACCATACACTGCTGGCAATAAATGGAATAATGTCACTCAAACGAATGTTTCCCCCAAACAGAACCTCTGATTCTCAATGCAAAACTACAAGGAAGGTGTTATTAATCCCAAGGGAGCAACCTTCTCAAAGTCACATAGTGAGGAGAGGTTGCTAGGTGGGAGCAAGTTCCATGCCTCCTCCATCCCGTCTTCTCTGGAACCTGTGGGCGGTGTCAACTGACTGAACTACAATCTCAGGGCAGCACCCTGCCCTCCAACCTACCCCACTTCCTTGCCCACTGCAATTAAAATGTTTAACATTTAAGAAAATGGAAGCTGGGTGGGGTGGCACATGCCTAGATACCCAGTCAGCCAGAAGGTTGAGGCAGGAGAATGGCTCGATTCCAGGAGTTCAAKACCAGTCTGGGCAAGATAATTAGACCCCCATCTCAAAAAGAAAAACGTGGGGGGGGGGAGAAGAGGAAAAAACAGAAAAGGGAGGCAACTYTCATCCAGTGGAATGTGTAGATTCTAAGGGTACCACTGGATGCATGTTGACAAATGTACACATCCGAGTCACATTTCATCACCCAAGAGTTCCCAGGAACCTCTTCTACCTCCCACAGGTAACCATGATTATGACCTCTATCATCAGGGATCAGTGTTGCCTGTACTTGAACTTCACCTACATGAAGTTGTTCAGCACACACTTTTGTTCCTGTTGGCTTCTTTTGCTCTGATAATTGATGTGTGGAGGCACCAACAAACGAACAGGCAGAGCAACAGAGGTGTAATGCCTGAGGAGGTGCGGACGAAAGTATTGGTCTAAGCCAGGAACCTGCCCCCTCCACCCCGTAGACCCTCATCCTAGCCAAGATGAAGTTGGTACCAGAGCCACGGTAGGGGACCCAGGCCAAGAAGGAGCAGAGCCAGACCCCAGACCTGGGATGGACAAGGATTCTCAGCCCCAGTAGGAGGGGCCTCAAGCTCCTCTCAGATCTGCTTAAGCCAAGGTCCAACTCTCTCCCTTCTGCCCCGAGGTGGGCACCTCGGAGACCAGAAAGTTGGGGAAAACCCAGCCAGACTGATGAGATGAACACAAGTACTCCCCACCCCTGCCCTCCAAGCAGCTTCAGCAAGGGAACATTCGCTGTGGGGGAGGAAACACAGCCATCCCACCCTCGCCACCTGCTCGGGGCTGGCACTCCAGCACCAACCAGCCCTCTTGGGCACAGGCAGCAGCCCACATGAGCCCCTGCTTTCTGGTACCAGTCTGGCATAGCGTCCCTGGGCCCGGAGCACGCAGGTCCAGCCCTCTTCTTTCCCAAGTCTTTGTCTTGCTCTTGGTAGATCCTGTACCTTCACCCCCCACCGGGCCCTTCTCAGTGGGTAAAGGTAAAATGTGCTGGCGTTCCGGGCCCACGCAGGCTGGCAGCGGGGCAATCATCGTGATGAATCACACTGGCACCGCGGGCGCCCGGTCCTTGCCGAGGCGTCACTAATGAATTAGTTTCACCCCCAGTACGGGGCCTCTCAGCCTTCCCCTACTCCCCAGGAAGGCAGGAAACAAGCCCAGCAAAGGGAGCGCGAAGAGGAGCAGGTCTCTGACAGTTCCAGAGACCGTCCCAGGCCATGCCCTCTGCCCACTCACCGCAAAAAATACCCAGTGGGTAGGTCCTCCAGGTCCTGGGAACTGCCTCCCTGCTCCTAATCATGATCGAGAACCATCATGCCCACCCCCAAATCTGGGTTTTTAAATGAATTTTTTTGAAATACAGAAAAGGTACAAAGCTCTCTGTGATAAACACCCCTGTGCTTGGTCTCCAGCGTTGACAATTGTTCACATTTTGTCATACTCGCTTTCAATCTCTTTCCTTTGAAATAAAAGAAAGAAAACAGCAACGTAACACAGAAGGCTCCTTTGATTTCCCCCTCCACGTCCCCACAGGCACCTCTGCCTCCTCCCCACAGACCCAGCCAAGGCCACTGGGATTCTTCCTTCCTGCTCTGGGGCCAGGACCACTGGCTGCTGAGACTTGAATAAGAATCAGGGAATATTAGCCTGGCCTCTTAGAATGCGAGGGCTTGAGCCTGTTAGAGCCAATCACAAAATGTCAGAGCAGGGAGGGGGGCTTAGCTCTTCCCGCAGGCCGCTGATGTAAATGTCTGTAAGAAGCTTGTCCCAGAAGAATGCATGGAGGCAGCTTCTCACCCAACAAAGTGCCCATTCCCCAGGTTCCTGGTCTCCTGGGAGTCTAGTCCAGTTCCCTCATTTGGCAAAAAGAAAATCCATGATGTCCCTTTATGCCACCGCCCACTCCCCTTCTCTGCATCCGTCCGAACTTCAGTACCTTAAATCTTTCAGGTTTGTTCAGCAAACATTGGGCACCTGCTTCTAAGGCTAGGCACTGGGGATAAAGTGATTATATAAATTATAAAACTGAACACTGCAGACAAAAATCCCAGCCTTTGTGGATTTAAACTCCCGCCAGTGGAGATAATCATCAAAACCCACCAGTCCAGGGCTAATCAGGCTGTGGGGGACATAAGGCAAGGAGGAGAAAGGAGGCCGGGAGAGCTGTCCTTCAAAACTGAGTAGCCAGGGGAGGCCCCTTTGGGAGGACAGCATTGAGCCAAGATGAGAGAGGGGAGGTAAAGAGCCACTGAAGAAGTCTTGAGAGGCTGTGTTCCTGGCACAGGGGACTGCGGTGGGCAGGAGGGGCTCAGGGTGGTTCTTGCAGCAAGAGGGAAGGTGGTAGCAGATGAGGTCAGAGAGGGAAAGTGAGGAGGGGGTGGGGAGCGGGGATGGCACATGGAGGCCTGTGGCCTTCCTGAAGACTTCAGCATTGAGGGTGAGGGGGCTTTGAGCACAGTGCACGTGTCCTAACAAGAGCCTTTGGGCTGCAGCTTCAGGAAAGGCATGCGCGCATGCTGGGGAGGCCTATGTGCAACCCGGGCCCTTCTCGTCTTGTTCCCTCCCACGCGGTAATGATAGTTGTCATTTACTGAGCACCTCCAGGTTGTCTAATTTACCCTTCATCACGGCTCTGCCAGGCAAGTACTGTATTCCCCACACTCCCACTCCACAGATGAGGAAACAGATTCAGAAGTTAAGTCACTCGATCGTCACCCAGCTGGTAGGAGGCTAAGCCATGATTCAAACCCAGACCATCTTATTGCGAAACCGGGGAGAAATTACAGATACCACCTAGAGTGCCCCTGCCCTGCAAACAGCACAAAGATGTCCGGGAGGGCCCTACTTGGAGTTTTGGATGTTGCTGGAGAAGTTGAGGGTGGCTGAGAGCCGTACCCCTCCCCTGCTCCATCCCAAGTCCCAGGGCTCAGTGTTTGCCTACCTGGGGGGTGGGGGGGTCCTGGAATCTGCAGGGCCAGGCTAGGAACCCTCAAGTAGGTCCAAGAGGACAGAACAAAAAGGTTCCCAAGTCCAAGGTCACCCTCTGCCTGTGATCTGGGCTCAGAGTTCATCTGATTACAAATTCCAGGCGCTCTCAGGCCCACTTAGCCCCGGGACCTTCAGTGGGATGTGAAACTCCTGGCTGGCTTAGCCATTACCAACCTGCTTCTCCAACGCCACCCCCCTCCTTCCAGAAACCCGAGCCTACGTGTGGCTTGGGATCACATTCCCCTGGAAACCCAGCTCTGGGAACATGAGAGCTGGAGTAACAGAGGCCAAGGGAGTGTGCGGAAGGGGAGAGGCCACGTTGGTGCCCAAGGCCAAACCTCCATGCTACCGACAGGAACCTGATCATTCTGAGGGATCTGGTGAGCC